GTATGGACCCTCAAATGAACCTGTCCAGCACTTGAACCAACCTCATAGCTGTTCTGGATCTTACACAGTACCATTATCAGTGTTATCTATCCCAAAAATGATGAGTTCACCACAGTATAAACTTTGTGAGTCTAAGAAGTCTGAGTATATCTACTAGTAGGGGTATAGTCCACCCCCCAGAAACTGGTGCCCCCTCCCCTCTAGTATATCTCTATGCTGGATTATATAGCACCTAGGCTCTCCAAGGTTTGAGTGATCCTAACATTTGCTGTATAATCACCAATCAACAGGATTATAGTAGGCCATCTTGTGGAACAATGTCAACTTAGATTATGAGATTCTATGCATGGGGCCCCAAGATATCAGCAAAATACTCTCCAACTCAGTATTCTATTATACTTGGGAGTCAATAGATTGATGTGATGGTAGCAGATGATATAGGTGAATATACTATATAATGGTAGGATGGTACACCTTTCAAATGAGTTCTCTCCCAGCTCTATCCACCAAGCCTAGCTAGAGATTTATCCTTATCTTTGGGAGTTGATGGAGATCAACTACCACTGATGACTGAATGTATAACATTCTCAGTGCTATATTCACCCTAGTGATGGAAGTGGATACACTAGAGCCTTAGTTTCAAGTACCTAAATCTACAAGCCAGCCCTCTGACACCCTTTAAGCAATATTTTCCTTTTTTATATGACTGAAGAGTGAATATAGTAATTATATCCTATGATAGTAATGAAATACTAGTGTCAATTCATGGTACTTTTGAAACTCTACCTGCTGGTACTTGATTCATGCTGTTAACTCAAGTAACCATGGAGATAGAGGTTCATCAGTTATACATCAGCTAATGATTGGCTATTACTGACACAACTATTCACCTGCCACAAGAAGTTACTTGATAAAAGTTGTTCATATAGTTAAGATATATCACTCTTATTTTGTGACAATGTGTGACATTTTCTAATGATCATACTCTCTCAAATGGTCAAGAATTCCTTTTTTAGAAATTCTCAGGCTTATAACTCCATCTGAGATGACACTGTTACTGAAACTACCAGCTCCAGTTTCTATCAAAGAAAATCTCCTTTTTGGGACACTGAGTCACGAGTCACATAGCGTGACTTTGGGGGACTTGGTCTGGATAGCCTGTGTTGTATTATTCACCTTTATTCACCCCCTACCTATTCGACTTAGCAGAAATTTGCCTTAGAGTTCAGAATTATTCACCCCTTTTGTCAGCAATTATTCACCACTTGGGAGTTCCTGTCAGCACTGCGAGTTATCAGTGGCAACCCGCCGGGTTACCACTGATAATGTATAGCTGGTTGTGGGAGCAATAGGTGCTGTTGTTAGTGTATTCTAAGCTTGTCTTCCTTTTATTATTGCTTATAGATAATAAGACTTCCCTTTCCTTTATCTCTATGGTTCAGCAGTTGGCTGCATCTCCTACCCATGTATGGCTTGGTACTACTATCTCATGCTATTACTAACCCTTTTTATAGGTGTCTAATGTCTTAAACCACTTGGGTTGTATACTGGGTATTAATAGCTCTAAAATCTCCCTTGAATAATTGTGCTAGCTTATTAAAGACTTTGTTGTTTATTATAAGTATCATTAAGATTCCTAGGGGGAAGACTTTGCTGTAGTTCTTGCAGAATCTTTACAATGCTTAATTGTGATACAGAGTTAGTATTTAAAGGAGGCTCTTACTTCCTTGGCAGGTCTTTGTATCTATTGGCTATAGTCCATCTTAACTAGTTATAGCTAACCCCCAGCCTAAGTCTCAATCTTTGAAGATATCCTCTTAGGTCATTCCTTGCACTATTCTTCTAATAAGGGCAACCTGGACAAGGACTCTGACTCTGACACCAAATATTCTTCGGATAATTTATCCTCCTCATATATTGTTAAATACTAATCAACCAGTCTGGTTGATTAGTATCCAATACCCGGGTAGAACATACCCGGGTATATTAAACATTTCCAATTCCCTACTCTGTAGGCGATATCGGTGGCCAGCTGTGGTGTACTCTGTAAATTTCCTAACAATGTCCCGGGGTTCAAGAGTCTAAAGGTTCCTACCACACACAAATTATACACCAATAGTGACAACCCGGGATTGAACGTTTGACCTCTTGATATCCACCAACTTTGAGGTTGGCATTTTGTTGGATACTAATCAACCAGACTAGTTAATTAGTATCCAACATATATGGCCAGTAAATCTTTAAATAAGGGCTCAATAGAGATCGATTTAGTAGAACTTGCATTGGAGGCAATCCTCCTCAATGTCAACACCCTAATGCAGAATAGCAAAACCCTAAAAGCTGACTATACTTTTACAATCTGCTATCTATAACTTTCAGGCTTTATTCCATATAGTTGTTATATCTGTGCCAACTCTAGCATTCGATTCTGATATCTGATTTTAGTATTTAGTTTTTACGCAATAAAGATTTACTGAGTATTTCTAATTACCCCGACTTATAATCTATGCAATCATCTATGCCTTGTTCCTTGTATGTAATCCCTCTTCTACTTTACTTAACTTTGTTATACCTTATTCTGTTTCTATCACTTCTTGTACTATAAATACTTAAATGTATTATTATGTACTTCAGTTTGTAAATTAACGTTGCTGGTCTCTATCTCCCAGCATCGTCTCAACTCTGCTCTTCTCTCTTGTCTTATCTTGGTCAACTAGAAGCCCCAGTCACCCAAACATCCTTTTATAGTGTTCCACCCCCAAGTGCTCTCTAGCTTCAATTCCATTTCTGACTTCGACTTTGATTCCAGTCCTTTGGTTGACACAGCACTTAACAGCAGTGCAAATTCCTTATTTACTTTCTCTTTTACTAGCTGATACTCTACTAGTGGAGAAACTTTAATCAACTTGACTGGCTTGCATCAACATACATTTACAAGGTGTCAAGTGTATGAATTGGGTCCTGGATGCAAGGGTGAGGTATAAACAACTGAATTACTTCATCAGATAAAGAGGGTACAACATGTCACTTAACTAGTAGGTTCACTTCGACTATGTCTTTGCCCCGGAGAAAATTGCAGAGTTCTATCATAAGTATCCTGGCAAACCACGGCACATTGCCTTGGCGACCTTTGATATGATTCTGTTCTAGACTATGTGTTGGGACGCCGCATTCAAAAGAGGGTAATGTCAGGGGAACCTTCCTTTCAGCCCCTCAGAGATAACTAAAGCTTAGCACCAGTGTCAATACCCACGGATGTCATCACAGGTACCTGCAGGGAAAACATCTGCAGGTTTAGATGCCAACAGTACAGGTATAACTCTGAAAGATCTCAATCTTCTCAATATTTATTATTTTATATATGATCCACTCTCTATGGTCTTCTCATGTCCTGTAGTGTCTATATCAGTGCAATACTTAATACTACATGCTATATAGGGCGTTGATATTGTCAAATATACCTAAATATAGAAGTTAATAGAACAAATACCCGTGAATAACTAGTGCAGGTATCCGTATTCGTGAGTACAGGTACCTGTTTCCCACGGATGCTGCTGTGGTACCTTACCTGCAATACCACCTAGGCCTTCTGTGCCTGACAGCAGCAGCTATGGATGAGCAGTATACTGACCCATTTCATTCAATTAAGCCGGTCACAGTCACACCGGGTTTTTTGGCCGAAATATTTCGGCGGGTCACAGGTCACAGCTGAAATTTTTCGTCCCAAAGTGTCCCAATTGGGAAGATTTTTCCGAATTGGGTAATAGGTCCCACAAAATTTGGTCTGTGGCCGAATTGAACATTTCAGGGAAATGGTCACAGGTCCCAGGCCCGCTGATTGATCGAAATAGGTCAGTAGTATATAGTCAGCCACCTAGCAGGTGGACCCCTAGAGTTTCTTGTCTTTGGATCCTCCCCTGCTAGGTCAGCTTTATTTGTATTTGCTTACCAATGTTCACACTTTGGATCCTGCACTTCTAGACCTTGGTCTCAGGCCTCTGGGGTTGCCCTTACATGGATGAAGACTCCTTGCTGAATAATTCAATAAATGAAAAGGGGGTTGTAGTAGGTATTCTACCCTTAAAAAAGGGTGTTGCATCGGTAAATCAAGTCCTACAGTGATTTGAAACATGTAAAAAGGCATTTGCCCCTAAGCTTACTTCCCGGCATTTTTACTAGTATTTTCCGGTGCACCCAGTGAATGTTCTTTAGAATGCTTCTGCAGACTGAAGTTTATTACTTTAAATGCTCTAAAAAAAGAGAGAGACAGACAGACAAGGGGTCCCAAGATCCATATCACGAACATGGGGGGGGCAGGCATGGTCAAAAAAACTTTCGCTATACCAAAGTTTAGGGAGGGGGGGGGGTTTGGTGGGTTTGAGGTTGTGTTTGAAGTATATATGTAGCATTCTAGCATAGAATGCAAGGTGGGTACTAATTAGCCCCACTATTTACCTATGGCAAGGCTTTCAGCAGTTTAGTTAGGCTGTAGTGTGACTGGAGTGTGACTGCAGTGTGACTAGCCTCACAATTTATCATTGATATTTAATCACCTATAATCACAAGAAGCCTAGCAGTGACACTGACTCAATCACACCGACAAAGGCAAAATATCAGCTAGCGCTGAAATGCACACCGAACCCGATTGGAGCGGTTCAGCGGGCCGGAATTACTATCTATCGCGACTGTTGATCATATCATCAGGTCACATGATGTGTGATCATGGGAATATATTACCCAGTATGGTAAGGGGGTCCCCGATGGCCTGAAAAAAAAAAACTTTTCGACGGTATATCCAATTTTCGAAAGTTGGGACCCCCTTGGAGACAGGATAATGATTAATGAATACAATGTTGAAAGATTACAGGAGAGTATAGTGATAGAAAAAATTACATAGATACAATGCATCAAACCCGCGGTATGTGGGGAATGATAAACAACTCCATAGATAAAACACATCAAACCCGCACAGACTAAGCAGTACACGGGCGGAAATCACATCACATTAAATCGGCACCGCGCGGACTCGGAGGCGTTGGCGGAGCCTCCCGGTAGCGCTCAGGCACAGCTAGCACGAGCTGGAGGTGGCCCTCGCTTGCACCCTCGAGCGGCATGAGCCCCGCAAAGAGTGTGTGCCCCACGAACCGGTCGACGACACGTGTCCCGCCCGCACTCTCGCGCTCGATGTTTGCGTGCTGCACGGACAGCGGGCGGTCCGGACAGAACCCGTTCACCGTTGCGACGCGGCGCACGAGGTACCGCTGGAGCGTCTCCGCGGCCTGCACGGGCGAATACGGCGCGCTCGGGTGGGTCGGCGACGGCGACGGCGAGCCCCGAGCACTTGATCCGGAGGCGGAGCCCGATCCGGAACTGATGGTGCTGATGGTCGGCGACGCGGGGACCTGGCCCGAGTCGTACGCCCGGATGGTGCGATGAATTTTGGACAAGACATCGCCGATGCTGACGAACGCTTGTCCAATCGTCTTAGAGCGCACTTCGACGCGCGTCTTGTACGCCATCGGCGCGCCGGGCGGCGTGGAAAGACGAATCGTCAGTGAGTTGCGCGGGGGGGTGCAGGCGGGGGTGAGGAGAAGGTCGGCCGTCAGAAGGGGGTTGGCTTGGAAAGCATCGGAGGGGAAAGATAGGTCGAGCGTGAGCGCCGTCGCCGGGGCCAATGCCGGGTGGAGCTGTAATCGGCGTGGTTCGGCGGGGATCACAGCCTCAGACTCGCGCCGAGGCAGTGTTAGAGTTGTTCGCATTCTACTCGTGGAGTCGGGGCTGGGCAGGGGGACATCAGCGTTGGGATGTGGTGTGGGCGGTAGGAAACGCAACGGGAGCCGTGGGGGCGTTTCGGCGACCGGAAGCTGCTCGTGCCGCTCTGGTGGGGATTCAAGTCGAGTAGGTATGTCAGTGTCAGTGTCGTCCACTGACGGCAACGCGGAAGTCCACGACTCCGGCGTATTCATCGCCGAATACGCCTCGATTGTCAAACTCCAGCGCACCTCTCTTCTGTCTAGACTGGCGCGCGGTCGCGCTCCGGGAGGGGAAGACATGGCTCTAGGGCGGGGTGGGGAGCGAAAACAAGACGCGAGCTCGAGCTGTAACGCAGTATAATAAGCATGATGTAGCCGCCCCATTGGAGATGTCGGCACGCACCAAATTTGGGAAATGACTCTGTCTTACAACAGCCTGCGTGTGACGATGACTCTGGGGTCACGCCCCGGCCGCAGGACAGATGATGGATGGATGGCTATCCCCGAATGCGCGCCCGGGCTCAGCTGCCCCGACCGCTGCTGTTGAGTTGTTGTGCTGTTGAGCGTGTGGCCTAGGCCCGACGTGAAACAATATTACGCGGCGCGTGGCGGTGGCTGATGCGTGCTACCGGCAACTACCTGAGGCTGCGGCGAGTGTGTGTGGAAAGGGTTCATGCCAACACACCATCCTACAGCGCATATATAGCGTTGCGAATGCATTAGGATCGAGGGCAATGCGTCATCGTGACGCCGATGCAGTGCGCAGGTCAAGGCAGTCCGTGTGTCCAACTGAATTGCATCGGTGGGCGGAGTGGGCGCCTAGCTGGCGGGGATCGGCGCTGCTTTCATGATCAATAGAGAGCCGGATCCGCGCTCGGAGCGGGGTCTTCAGTTTGGCCGAACAAAGCGGCGCTGGATGGGGATGCCGAGTGACAACCCCAGCAATGTCATAGCAGCGGGAGTCGCCATCGCCGATAGCAGCTACGGCCCACGCCAGGTTGGCGCTTAAAGCGTGAGCGCGGTATCCCATGAGAACGGCCGCGCCAGAGATCAAATATGGGTATAGCAGCCACGCAGCCTGCGCAACAGCACAACTTGGGTATACGTTGGCTGTCTCGGGTCCGTCGCGGGTGTTTCACACTCTGCGCAGAGGACGCCGGATTGGGGGTGGGGCGGTAGAAGGGTCGTCGACGTGGCATGACAAGGAAGTTTGATATCTGATGGATGATCCGACAAGCGCCTAAAAACGTAAGCTGGCGACGTGCGTTCGAGCCTCAACACGCGCGTATCATTTCAGTGTTGTCTCAATTATAATCACACAAGAAGACACTGCAAACTGTTTCAATCATTTATCCTGACATAGTATATATACATGTTATGCTGTCTAAATAGTAGTTACAATTGAGCTATGGTTTATTCATAAATTCACACTATGCACAATACTAAAGATCAGAGAATCAGAAATTTGTGGCAACCTTCTCTGGCCTGCTGGTGATGCTCAAAAAAAATTGAATAGAATGGAATGCTTATGACAGGTCTGGTGGCCTTAGGTAGAGGTCTTCTCAGGTAGTGAACAAGAGGAAAGGACACAACAACTTATGTATCTGTTTTAACCCTAGTCAAAGCAATTCTACTTGTGATATGTTCAGAGAGTCCAAAGTAGTAATCAGATGAGAGCAGAGGATAACTCTGGGCAAGTGTAAGGGCAACCTGGTGAGGCTCGAAATCAGAGTCCTGAGCAGAGAGGGAATTGTAAGGGCAACCCTGGAGACTCCGATGAAAGCCTAGCAGGGGAGGATCCAAAGAGAAGAAACTCTAAGGGTCCGCCTGCTAGGGCGCCAACTATATACTGGTTGTCTGTAACTGCCGACGTAGAGCACAGAAGGCCTGAGCGGCATCGCAGGCTCTGTCCCAAGGTCATTGTTGGGAGGGTCTTGACGGATCGGTGATTGTGGACGATGGTCGGGGTGGGTCGGAGCGTCCGAGGGGGCGCCGGTCGGATGTGCCTCGGATGCGCTCGGATGGTCCGAAGGAGCCTGAAGCAGGGGTTCCCCTGACAGGGACATAAAACATGTACTTATATGATATATGTTAAAGCTCTTTTTGGGAAGCCCCTATACATAGGTATTAGTTGTCAGAATGCCTTACCACTCCTTGATATTGCAAATGCTAATGATGTGGACAATGCTATAGTCTCTTCACTATAAGTTTCTATAAGAGATATTCTAATTGTACTAAGCTTTATCAATGATACTGGCAGGCTATCACTAACAATATACAGTGCTAAACTGCTTAAAACAGGTCATTCTATACTGAATCCATCAGCATATAAGTGGGATGTTATGTTTGCTATATGCTTCAACAGGTGACAAACTGGGCAATGAACCACAAGATGGCATGGGAGGTGTCAGACTGCGGGTCGGGCCGTGCAAGGATCTCTCCTAAGAACGCGCGCCCGGAACAGAACAGACGGATAGTCGGGCCCGCAAGTATGGCGGGCGGGGTAGATCAAAACCGAAAGGGCCCGTGAACTCGGTCCCTTGTTGCTATCGGTGGTCAAAGGTTCGAATCGGGTCGTGTCGGGCCCGATGAGTTGATAATGCCTCCTTGTATGGAGTAAGGTAGTTCTTCAGACGATCTAAGCAATAGAGTACAGGGTACACTATTGCGTCTTATATATGCGGGCCCGCAAAGGGGGTGATCAGACACCCTGGCCTCTTCTGCTCCTCCTCGCCCCCATTCCTGGCCGCAGAGGGGACGATCGTACATCCCTTGTGGGCCAGGCGCTACTCCTAACCTCCTAGCACTCCCCCCCAGTCCCCTTGTGTCGAGTTGGGCTCGGCAACGGCTTGACGCGTCGTTCTCAGTCACGTGCTTCCCACGTGTACGTTCCTCCTACTGGGGCGCATGTTCCCCGTCGTAACGTGCTGTGTGCTACGGGCCCGCGATAGCCCGACACCAGCGCCCGGAGCGGACGGGCCAGGTCTTATCTGTGACAGGAGGCATGATGGCAGTTGGTGGGTCCCCTTAGGCACTCTAAATTTCTTCTGGCAATACTGACGTATTTTAATCAATTCAAGAGTCACATGTCACACACACACACACACACACACACACACACCTTACTGACCTGTGACATGCAGAAGATTTTTCAGTGAGACATGTCATTCTGAGTCTGACTGTGACAGGACTAATTAATCGAAATAGTATAGTATTTTGAAAAATATTTTTTATCAGTCAACGGGGTTCAACATTTAAAACATGGATACAGGGTCGGAAAGTTTTTTTAGGATGATATGTTTTCACAATTTGTGTCATGTGATCATTGATACAATCAAAAGATGGCATAAAAAATTCAATGTTTGGAAAAGTTTTTTTTTTAAAATTATGTATGTGTATATGTATAGGTATAGGTATGTATATACCTGGAGCATTCAACCACACATGGCCGGCTATATCAACTCTCTCCCATTAATTCCCTAATGATAGGCCTATGACAGGATGTACTATGCAAGCCTATAAGCCTGAAAGTATACTGACCCATTTCCTTCAATTAGGCCGGTCACGGTCACATGGGATTTTTTGGCCGAAATATTTCGGCGGGTCACGGGTCACAGCCAAATCCTTTGGTCCCAAAGTGTCCCAATTAGGATAATTTTCAAATTTTCCGCGCCTGCAGCGCGCCGAATTTCCTAATTAGGCAACAGGTCACGCGAAATTCGGCCTGCGGCCGAATTGAACATTTCGGCCAAACGGTCACGGGTCACAGGCCCGCTGAATTGATCGAAATAGGTCAGTATACATATAAGTCTGGGGGGTTGTGAACTAGAGAAATTAGCATGTATTATTAAGGCATATGGTCCCAAATCTTGTAGATACTATATTTTCAGTGTCTTTTACCACCCATATAAGGCTCAAATCTTTCATATACAAAAAAGTTTTTTTTGCCTCCAGGGAGACCCCCTACCCTATGTGCCTGATAAGAATCTTGAACCCTTGATTGAATGATGCAGACCCTGTTTATGGCACATGGCTTTGATATAAACCAGCAGCTGTAGGATGACCCTCTTTTGGTCAAAAATCATAATATATAACATTTTTACTCCGCAGTGTTTGTCACAGTTACATAGATTGCCTTGCCAACCTCTCTGTCATTGGCAAGAAACACTCCGGCAGGCCCATTGCAATATATGGTGTGTCCTTAAGGACAGCTGCGAGGCCTTTGGCACAGGCCATAATCCAGGACATACCTGTGGGTGTGTGTGTGTTGAGTATTAGGTACCAGTAGCATAGGGGATGTCACACCATGCCCATTGAATCCCCGCGCAAATGTATGCACCATTCCTATCAGGGAGTGGGCCAACATATGGGAGAGCTGAAAGATACAGTTGAATGAGAGGCTTGGCCAGTGCTGCACATATGCACAATCGCGGGAGTACCCCATAATCCCTGGACGGCATTTGTATCTCTAAGACTTCAATGCAGACTGAGAGAGTTTGGCAACCCACCACTCCAAGATGTCAACCAGCCTTCACCAATGGCCTCCTCGCCCCATTTGTCGCTGCCCATTAGTGTCTTGACAACATGTTTCTGCAATTGGGTGATCTCTTCAAGTACAGTTGCATCGTCGGTTGTGCGCAGGCGTGCCTCATCGACCAACCGCCGCCCACCGCCGATAATATGAAGATGCCATCCTTCGGCCGCTGCATAAAGTAGTCGCCAAACAGCTGCTCAATTCAGAGGAGACCAGAGATCAACGACAGAGGACATACAAAGCCATAGCTGTTGGGGAATCCCTGAGACCCTGAATACGCCGCAGGCGGCACGACAGCCGACACCTGTCCCTTGAACGGATAAATTGGCCCGGCAAACTCGGGGAGCAGTGTACCCGTGTACGCGTTCGTGGCGAACACGACCTTACGCGTGCGTAGAATGGCTCTATCCGTTGTCAGCTCCCACATGCCCCCTTCGTCCGACGCAGTGACCGCCCTGACGGCTGTTTGTGTCTGCAGATTCAACCCGCGTGCAAGACACAACTGAGCGAGGTGTGCGACGAGTTTGTATGGCCACAGGGTGCTTGCGCGAAATTTATATGCCGCGAGAGCGCTGGGACAGCGCGTCTCCCTCGAAGCAGCCTCTGGTGTGGTGAAGCATTCGACAATCCCCTCGACAGGCCCGCCGTCCGCAACGAATTCGGCATAAGCAGAGGCGAGGGCGGAGACTTCGGCGGGGGTGACAGCAATATCTGGACGTGGATGACATTGGCCATAAGCAGGGCTGAGGGAATAACATGGAAGGCATACCGTAGGTATCACACAGGTGGAAGTCACAGTTGATACTCTCCGTCGCAACAATCTCAGCTGTGAGGCGGAGAGTGTCCTGGATCCAAAAACAATTGTGAGCACATAAAATTGACTGCCTTCATTCAGCCACGCACCGCCTCTGTTGCCAGAACCGCCAGCGCCTGCTCCAGCCCAACTTTCCTTTTGAACGTGGGGTATGCTGCACACGCTGAATACATACGAAGCAACTGGCAGCTGAAAAGACTCACTCCGATAAGCGTTCGGCCGACAATGCCCGCCATTCCGGCCCGTTGCGCCGTCCGCGATCTCCCGTGCTTCCAGCAGCACGACGCGTTCCGGCGGCTGCGGGCCAGTGAGTAGAAAGTAGGCAGTCGCGATACCAGAGTACCCGCCTCCCACGATCACGACATCCTGGATGTCGGACGGGAGGGTCGGTGTGGAACGGTGGTTGATGAGAGGCGAGCTGCGCTGCCCTGCAGCCAGAAAGAAAGCGAGGGATGTGCATGAGGGAAGCCAGGGGCGGCCATTACTGTGCAGCAGTGCAAGGGGGTGAAGGGAGAGGGAGTGTGGGAGTATAAATACACCAGCAAGCACAATAAGCGCCCAGTGCTGGAGCCTGCGGCTGCGGCTGCGGCCATAACGCCCTATCCGAGTCGAGATGGGACGAGAAGGTGTCGAAAGCGGCTGTTCCGCCAAGTAGCCGCCATGGTCGTCAAGGAAGAAGAGGCGATTGATGTGGCACGTGCAACATAGTCTGGTCCGTGCGCGCTCGTCAATCACAGGCCGATGGCTATCTTTTCCCTTCTTCCTTCCGACGCAGTTCCCTGGCGTGGACGATGACCCAAGTCAGAGCGAGCCTTCCCCTTACCGAATGACTCTACCATACTAGGCCGCCACCAGTCGTCCCAAGTGCCACTACCCGGACGTTTTCCGAGTCGACCTCCCACTTATATGATTACTAACCGCCGCCGACCCGTTGTGACGTGTGTGACTCCCACCTTTGCTCTTTGCTCCTGACTGTCATGGACGAGGTACCCGACGAACTCGTCGCACTCATCTCCTGCTTTCCGCCGCCAAACGATATCGCATCACTTTGTCTCGTCAATAAACGTCTCGCCAAGCTCTGCTGCCCCTCTTTGTACCGCGAAATCGTCTTCGATGGCTCCAATGCGCTGCAGATGAAAGCTTGTATTACGACGCTTGCGCAGCGTCCTCTCTGTGCGGAACTCGTGCGAAAGCTCGACGTGTGAGTAACTCCCTCCAACATCGTGACCTTGCTGAGACGAGCTCAGGATTCATCTCGATACGACGACCCTCAAGCGCCTCGACCCCGGGCCATTTCCCGACGAGAACCTCCCTCTCCTCATCTCCGCTGCAATGCAAAATCTTGTGCAGTTGGAGACACTTTCGTTCACCTCCTCACCCACGTTTTTTGCGCTTGCCTTGAACCACCAATTTCCCCATCTCCGCTGCTGCACGCTGCCATACATCGGCTTCTATACCGTCGACTTTCTCAAATTCCACGAATCCACACTACAGGTCCTCGCCATCTCAAACAGCGAGCGGACACAACTCATGTTAACCCAAGACGATGCACCTCAACTTGCGCCTCTCGAATTCCCGTGCCTTACGCGCTTCGCTGGCCCGTCAACACTCGCCGAACGCTGGCTGTTAAACTCGCCCATCGAGCATTCGGTCTTTGATTGCCGCGTTGCGCCGGATGCTCCCAGCAAGGTTTTGTCTGTCCTCGCCGATGCTTCCAATCTCGTTTCTTGCACTCTGTTTGTTGAAATGTGGGACACCGAAACGCTTGCGGCCGTCGCCACGCATGCGCCGGCCATCCAACTGCTAACGATTTTTGCATTCGGAGTCAATCATAGTCGGGAGGCATCTGAAGTAGCCACTATTGAACTATCGCGAAGCTGCGGATACTAATCCTCCTCAGGCTTTCCTGCCGTCCGTCGACAAGTACATCGCGCAGCTTCCGCACCTTACGACACTGCGCATGCCCCGACCCCGGCCGCCGGACTGGGAGACGAAATCCATTGAAGAGTTGACACCCATTGTCCTCGCGGAGCTCGCACATGTCCGGCGCTGGGCAGGATGCTGCCCGACGCTCGCATGTGTGCTGTTGCAGGAGTGCTGGAGCTGGTTCCACAACGACGTATGGCTTGCATCGGACAAGGACGCGGTCCCCGCCAACGACGTCAACAGGGTGGCGGTCGCTGGCAAGCTCGATCTGCTGACAGAGGAGGAGACTTTAGCCGCTCTTGATGCGTCTCGCAAGCGCGCGAATGGGATCAGCGCACTTATGACGCTCATTGCGCCGTTGGCAAACAAAGTTTTGATCTCCCTTTGAGACCGGTACCGATATATAATAAATTTGGATGACCTTGCGTTTGAGTGTCCGCTTCAACTGTGATACGACATTGTGCTCAGAAGCTTCGTACCTACTGGTCATCTCGAGGACTTCAAGTTAAATATTCTGTGACGACGAATAAGATATTAATTTTGGATTAAGCATGTATGTACTCAGGGTCCACTCAGGTTACTTCAGAAAGCAACAGGTGATGCATGTAGGCTAGGTTGCGATCGGGGAACGTGAAATCCGTGATCACTGCGAGACACGGACGCACTTTGCGGCCGAGCGGCACGCCCACATCCTACCAAGAAAGGGCACCTTCCGAGTCGCCGATCAAAAACACGGCTAAACGGGTCCGGTGGCCCGCGGTTATGCGGTGCCAACCTCGTGTCTGTCGAAACAAGTCAACAGGCGACATCCCCGAGGATCTAGCGGTGGGTCTGTTTCCGAGACCGTGTGAAACTTGCGTCAGACATGGATGGTCAGGGGGGCGCCCGTGTGGGGCTTCTGCGGGTGCGCATCCGCCACTGGGGCTTGTCGCTGAGGAGGAGACGTCGGTCTGCTCGTTTTCTTTGCACGGCTTTTTCGCGGCCGACGGGAGAAGTCGACAACGACGCAGTCGGGCTCGCCGGATCACGCGAAGATCGTCCCCATCTGGCGTCGGCACGGGCCGTTTTGGAGTGAGTGTCAGCACAGTTAGGTCATATGCCGCTGCCGAGCGGTTAATCACCCGTCCCTGACAAATTTTTTCTGCTGACACCCTGCCCTTTGACTCGACGACGCAGAGTGCGTCAGCGCTAGGGCTCGTAAGCGCAGGTATATAGGGCTAGGGTTAGTGCGTGGTCGCCACCGACTTCCCTCCCCCGTCACGACCCCCGGCGACCACGGACGCGAAAATGGCTGCTCCGAACGTCGATAACGCCCCGGTGCCTCCCTCCCCACGCTCGTCCCTTGAGCGTACCCTCGCCAGCGCCGCCCCCAGTGTGCATGACACTGAGAAGACCCCTTCACCTGCTTCCGACCCGTCCCCACCCTCCAGCCCTCCCGCACTTCCCGACGGTGTCTTGACAGGCCGCAAGCTCGCGGTCGTCTTTGTCGCGATGCTGCTGTCGTTGCTGCTCGTCGCACTCGACCAAACAATCCTCTCCACCGCCCTTCCCCGCATCGCCTCCGACTTTTCCGCATTCACGCTCCAGGGCTGGGTTGCCACATCATTCATCCTCGCACAGACAGTCTTCCTGCTGTTCTACGGACAAGTGTTGAGGATATGGCCGAGCAAATGGGTGCTCATGGTGGCTATTGCGATATTTGAGATTGGGTCGCTCGTGTGTGGGGTTGCACAGTGCGTGTTCTGGTTTTCCCTTGTCTTACATAGAGGCTGACTGTCGGAAGAAACGTCGACATGCTGATTGCTGGTCGGACTGTCTCAGGCGTTGGCGCGGCTGGAATTTGTGCGTCCAGCTGCTATCGCATCTCTCCGTTACTAATCCTCCGCCAGTCGTCTCCATGCTGCAAGTTATCTCGCAAGTAACGCGGCTCGAAGACCGGCCCCGTCTTTTCGGGCTCTTTGGTGCTCTTTTCGGTTTATCGAGCATCATTGGTCCGCTCATCGGCGGAGCATTCACTGACCACGTCTCGTGGCGCTGGTGCTTCTTCATTAACCTCCCCCTCGGCGGTGTCTCCATGCTCGGCGTCGCCCTCCTGCTGAAGGCAGCCCCACCACTTGGTGCGGACCCAAACAAGCAGTCATGGGCCGAATTATGGGCGCAGACACTGCGGCTGGACTACATTGGGGCGACGCTCGTTGCAGCCAGCATTACGTGTCTGGTGTTAGCGCTACAGTGGGGCGGAAACACGAAGGTGTGTTTCCCTTGTTGTTCCAATTTCTTTCGCTGACGTTGGTGAAAGCCATGGTCTGCTCCCGCTGTCATCGTCTGTTTCGTGCTCTTTGCGGTCTTCGCGGTGATTACCATCGTCTGGGAGATCCGACTCGGCGAGCGTGCCATGGTGCCCACGGCAATCTTCAAGTCCGCCTCAATTTACGCCATCATCGCGTACTGCTTCCTTGCGCGCTTCTCGCTGCTGTTATTCTCCTACTACATCCCCATTTTCTACCAGGCCGTGCGCCATCACAGCGCGACCCAGTCCGGCATCGACCTCCTCCCGTTCATGATGGGCACCGTGCTCACCGTCATTGGCTCCGGCCAGCTGGTCGGACTTTTCGGGCGGTACCACCCCTTCCTGCTCGTCGCGCCGCTATTCCTCGCGGTCGGCTCCGGCCTGCTCTACACTGTCTCCCCCTCGACCACCTCTGCCCAGCTGGTCGGCTTTCAGATTCTGGCGGGGATTGGCACGGGCATGGGCATGCAGAACTCATTGCTCGCAATGCAGGTTGAATTCCGCTCCGCCGCGGAGGTCCGGCTGCTGGGCCAGGCCACGTCGATGGCGAGCTTCGCACAGTTCCTGGGAGGCACGCTGGGCCTCGGCATCGCGGAGCCCGTCTTCGCCTCCGAATTGTCCCGCTACCTCCTGCGCTACGCCCCTGAGGCGCCGGAGCACGTGGTCAAGCAGAGCCCCACCGCCATATGGACGAGCCTCGCGCCCGAGATGATCCCCGGCGTCGTGAAGAGCTACACGCAGTCGCTGAGAGTGGTCTTCGTCATCGGCGTGCCCGTTGCTGGGCTCGGGTTGATTGCGGCGCTCCTCATCAAGAACTTGAAGATCGAAAAACCAGACTCGCCGAAGGCGGCGGGCAAGGAGAAGGAGGATGTGTAAAACTGCGCACTCAGTTCCATTGGTACGGATAGAATATGGTATGGCTGCAGCTTCTCCCGAAGGCGATATGCCGAGACCGGGAATACGAACCCTTACACGCGGCATGCACCAACGCTGACCAGCACGGATACTTTACGATTCGCATAATGTTGGAACAACTTAGATGCTATTTTGTATTATTTACCAATGGCTCATGGATCGGAACAGCTTTATGTTAGGTCAGAGGTCTCTATGTGGCGTTGGCCATGAACCGGTTCCTCCAAGGGTGACTGGTCTTGTACTTCTGATCTATCGCCCGTGTCTGGCGTGGCTATTCAGCATCCATATTGATTTCCATCTTATACCCCCATTCGTCTGACTGAAGAAGCTCTGGAAAAGTACGCCCACCGCTGGCCGGCTTTGAAAACTCGAATGTTACTTTCGTCAGCTTGCCCGACGCCTGCTGTCTGTGCAACCCCTGTGCAATTGTGAGCTGCACCGACGGCATGAGCAACCGCTCGAACGCCGCTGTTGCCGCAGTCTCGTCCGATTCATCCTCAGGATTTCTGGTTTCCTTGTTGAGGGCAATACCCAAACACAGCGACTTCAACGCTTTCGGAAGAGGGACCTTGCGCCGCTGGACGAGGCGCTGCAACAAAGTTAGAGCCCGTGGTGGCTGGTTAAGTGGAGCATCGATGAGTGCGATCTGGACATGTTGCAATGATTCAAGACAGTCTGCGAGGGAGGAGAAAACAGCAGGAAGGTCGTCGAGATCAAGCGGGTCGACCAGGTTGATACATGTCAGGGAAGCCCCGTTGATCGCGGCATCTTCTATGGCTGGAATAACTGTGTCGAACGGGAGCTCGGCTGAGCTTAGGAATGTACTGAGGGAGTGAATGTTTAGCCGTCCAGGCAGTATGCACTTTATGAGTCCGTATGGACAGACAAGAGTTTCCAAACGCGGAAGTGCCTGACGGGAGAGCTGCTCGAATATTTGGATAACATGGTCTATCTCGGTTGTCCTGCGTGGAACCGTTGGTCCTACAAGAAGCTGTATAACTGGAGCGAGGTATTGATCCTTGGGATCACAGTGACAATCCAGCGCAAGATAGACGAGCTGCGGCGACTCCTCGAGGATGGCCACCACCATTTGGACGTCGATGTCGGGATAGATGTCTAGGATAAGCCTGCGCAAGGCGGGAAAAGACTGCGTTGCAACTGCTCGTAGGATCGGGGGAGGTCCACCGAAGCCCTTGAGCATCAATGTTTGGATGGTTTCGGGGTTAAAGATTCTGAATGGCTGGTCCTCGTTCGCGACAAGGGCGAGGGAATCGTCGCTAAATTTGAAGCTCTCAAGCGGGAGGAGGTTTCCGTTGGGAAGATCACTGTGTTGAATATGGAGATTGCGAAGGACAGGTAGCGAGTCGATGGCCGCCCGCAAGCTGTCCACGGTGTTCAGGTTCGACTGCGCAACGTTCCAGACCGAAAGCATGACAATGTTGACGAGACGCGGAAGCACAACGACGAAGTGCTGTGATGGCCTGTAGACAGGTCGGGCGCGCCGCTCCGAAGTACTATGGCGATGCATATAAGTCAGTGCCTTGACGAGTGGTGCAAACTGAGTGCTGCCTGCGATGTTGGTGAAATTCTCGATGGCTTGCTTGCGGGATCGCTTAGCCGCGCTGTCTGCGCCATGACAAACCAAGACCACGTTGAGCTCACGAAAGATGGCCGGCTGCGTTGCCTGATAGAGGGCCCTACACACAAGCGACAGTTTTAGCAAGTCGGACTTGCCGAGGAATGAGATGCAGAGGTCCCACAATTCGGGGGAAATGATGTCAAGGTAAGGCACTGGCATGTTATATGATCACGACCTATACAATGCGGCGGCGATCTTTCATGTCCGGCGATTTATAACAAGCGTTGGCGCGCACGGACCAACGAGCAGTCACCTGACCCATTTTAAAGAGATTCACGCATGACCCAGACCTGAGCCGGATACAGTAATTTTTTTGTTCATTTGAGAGTGAAAAACCGTCCATAGACACGAGGGCACACAGCGCCATGAAGCGCAGGTAGTCTATTAATTACCTTCTCACAGCCCGGTGCCGATCCTTGGACCCGGATCGAAGATCGGGAACGGATGCGCCTCAGTGTTGAAGACATATTCTAGCAAACTTGAGCGTTGATCAACCGGCAGGAAAAAGCCGCACCGTCCAAGGGCAGCAACCGCGCCTCGCTGAACATCAAGTACAGGTATTTCAACGTCTCGCTGACGAAGAACGTCTCCATCTTGTCTTCCCAGCGTTCGGCCCCACGCTGCGCGACCTGCTCCTCGTGGTGGCGTGCGTCGAGAATGTTCTTGATGCCTGCGTAGCCGCCGCTGGGGAGCCGACACTCGCGCTCGATTGACTGGAATATCCGCCATGCATATGCGCGGTATCGCGGGTTGCCGGTCAGCCGCCAGGCAACGAAGAGCGACTCGATGGTCTCGGGCCGCAAAATGTAGCGTGCGTCGTAGACAGGTGGGTTACCGGGAGGTCTGTGGAGCAACTAAGAATATGACAGTATAAACAACCAAGCGCACTTGGCATCCTTGATGTACCAGTCCCGAACCCGGTCCCCATTTTTCGCGCTTTTGTCCATCGCTTCGCGGAAGTGCACAATTTCCGCGGACAGTCCCCTAGTACGATTCATCAGCTTCGGCATCTGGAAGAATTATGCTCAACTCACGTCGGTGTCCGGTACGTATCCACACATGTCTCCAGCAACTCGATGCCCGCGGTCCAATCTCGCCTCCCCTCCTCCGTCAGCTCCTCTGCTCGCGGTGGAATCGAAACTTTCTTGACGCCGGCAGCCCGATGCACAGTTACCGCCCCCAACAAGAGTTCCCCAGCAAGGAAGCATACCAAATGGTCCTGCTTCCGAACTCGCACCCAACTCATCCCACTTTGAGCATTGCGTTTGGACTGGATCTCCTGCGTGAAGAGCATCCCCGTGAGAGGCCCGCGGACGAAAATCGTCCGGTGTACGGCGTTCATTGCGGTGGTGTACATGTCGCGGTAGATCGGTTCCGTCGACGCCGTCTGGAGGTGTTGTTTCAGGAGGTACTCATAGTAGCTGTCCCCGCGCGAGCCCAGCCGAATGTCAGAGGAGACGAATTTGCCTGCGTCGATACTGGAGGGACATCAGGTCGACTGGAGAGAAGTAGGTTGAAAAATCACGCACTTCATAAATATTGGCGCCAGTCCGCCATTAGCTCGCGCCATCCGAATGACCTTCATCACCCGCTCTGCCTTCTCCCAGTATTGCTCTGGACGCACATTGCTCTTGCTTTCGTGGAACTCATCCTCACCCAACACCCAACTCAGATAACGGAACTCGAGTTGCAGGGTCGCTGCCTCTGCCGTGCTAACTAACCCACGGTTCTCCCTGTCCGGCACGCCCACCCGCTTGTGGAGATTGATCAAGGAGAATGGAAGACCTGACGCGGTCGAGAAGGCCGGAAGAAGTCGAGATGCGAGGTCTTCAGCTTGGTTGAGAAAGAGTGCGGCGTCGGATGGCGGGATGAACGGATGGAGTCGTTTTGAAGCGAGATGGTACGCGGACAACAGCCCACCAAGGACGCGAATCGTCGTCTGTTGTCAATATCAGACTTCGAACAGGTAAGGAAGGGAGACGCACCTCGAACACGCTAACTTCGGCGTCCCTGTCAAACTGTAGCTTCGTCTCGATCCACCTCCTCGCCCTAGCATACTCCTCGTCCAAACCCATGATCATCATCGTATCCAACGCGTCAACGACCATATATCCGATTCCTCCAGCAGAAGTCAAATTACTCCCCTTCCGTGCGAGGGGATGGTACTCGTCCGAACCCATCGCATCGCGTTCTGTCCACGTTTGAGTTATTGGGTCGAGAGAATATGAAAACGACACACCATATGCCCTCCAAGCATACTATTCGACTATTAGGTGTCGTGAAGGATCTAAGACAGCTACTCACGGACCTTGAAAGCCTTCACGACGGCTTCTCGCTTCTCCGCATCCGCGCCCAAGTCCACCACCCACTCCTTATCCGGGGACGAAAACCACGACGGACTCTCCTTTGCTTTTACGGTCGGGCGGAAGTAGTCGCCAGGATTCTGTTTTCCTCCGAGTTAACAAAGAATGTAAAGGGCGGCACACCTGATAGTACAGCAGTGCTCCCGCACCAGCGGCCAGCGCAGCAAAACCGGCGACTACAACGAGAAGGTAGAGGCCCAGGATGACGTTGAATGTTCCCTTCATGGGCTAGGCACTGTCAGTCGCCAACCGACCAGAGGAACTACGCACCTTTGGCTCTGCCCGTCCTGCTCCCCGACTCGACTCTGGGATTGCCCCGGGCTCTGGCGCCGGCGGCTCGTCTTCAGAAGGCGCTGCCGCGCGTCGTTGTCGAAGGGTGGCCGCCGCTGGGGGCGGAGACGGTGGGTCCGCCATGACGTGGTGACTGCGAGGAAGAAAAGAAGGATGATCGGGAAAGCGTGACATCGGGTGACTTTCCGGATCTGATATCCGAGTGACATCAATCTTTCGGCAATCCGTTGTTTCTTCTCAGGCAGGAATCGCTCAAGCCCGCCACCAACACGGCGGAGGGCAAACCCACATTTAACTTCGCATTATCTGAGCACTTGAACATGTGATTACTTTTTGTCTGGCGAAAATCATTTCAATTGTAGGCAACAATCTATTGTAGAGAGAACCAATGCAACTAACATTTTACATGTTTATTCAAACCATAATAGTATGTATATCAAACTCGAACGGTCAGACACCGATGCGCCGCACGCGCAACGGCAGCTGCGTCCCCTCCTCTGGCCGCGCTCTCAGCATCGGCCGCTGTACTGCCGCATTGGACGCGGGCACGATGTCATCCGCTGTCCAGCCATCCGGTAGGGCGAACTCGAGCTCGCGTACGAGAACAAAGAGAAGCGATTTCATCCTGCGATCAGTAAGCGCGAAAAACCCTTAAGCAAGAGTTAATATTCTTAACGCACTCGGCAAGGGAGAAGCGCCAGCCGATGCAGTTGTGCGGCCCACCGAGGAAGGTGAGCTGGTGCGAGTAGACGCCGGGAACGGAGGCGGCTCCGGCGGGCAGCGGGCTGGCCCAGCGTTCCGGTCTAGACATCCCACGCTTAAGTAAATCAAGATGGGCATGGAAGGAAATGTACCGGAACTCGTCTGCGTCGGCGCCCCAGATTGTTCTGTCGCGGTTGACAGCGCCAATGGGGACCTGGATGTTCTGTCCCTTCTTTACACTAGGAAACAGAGGATTAATTTGGGAGCAGGGGGTTGAAATGAATCCTTACATGATACTCTCATGTACCACGCCGTTCACATCTGTCCAGGCCCCGTCCTTGCTCAGCGGGATGACGTCGTCTCGCATCGCAAGACGATTAGTGAACGATACAGGAGCGTGAAGCCGCATGACCTCTCTGACGAAGTGGTCGAGGTAGGGGAGGCCTTGGAGGGTATCGAACGATGGCGAGTCAGTGCCGAGGGATTGGACTTCCGAGCGGAGGGCGGATTGCACTTCCGGGTAGGCTGCGAGCGCACGCAGAGCCCAAGCGGTAGACGTAGAGGTCGTTTCGTGGCCCGCAATGAAGAAGGTAGGGATTTCTGTGCCTCAATCATTAGATTTTGCCAGAAAAAACGAGCGGATGGTAACACACGTGCCACGACGACTTCATCACTCAGCCTCTGGCCCTCGCTCTCCGCCATATTAGATTTGACAAGAAGCGACAATAGGTCCCGGCGGTCCTCCGCACCATCCTCATCGCGCTTTGCAGAGAGTAGTAGCTCCATTCCGACCCGTTCCATTGCTTTACGCGCTTCGACGGCATGCTTTGGCGCAGGCTACAATCCCCTTCAGTCAAAGAATGGGTTATAAATCAAAACAGACAACGCACAAGAATATTCCTCAGCCCGGGAACAACTCCTCTTAAGAAGCGCACCGGCGTCATTACGCGGGTCTGAGACGACTCAAATAGCGCGCGGAATGCGCTTCCTAGCGCGGTAACCCCGGTGCTGCCATCCCCTCCTGGTGCGAGTGCGTGGAAGTTATAACCAAAGCCTGCAAGTCCAATGATGTCGAGCGTCACGGCCTTGAGGCCGCGCACAACATTGAACTGCGTCCAACCGGCGTTATTGGTGGGGGACCAGAAAGCGACAAGTTCCATTGCTTTGTCGAGGAAGAGCGGCGTGAGGAGCTTGACCTGCGATGGGGAGAATGCGGGTGACATGATTCTGCGCTGGAACGGCGCATTGAGCGGGTGGATAAAGAAAGAAATGAGTCCGGCGCACCAGTTTCGCATGTTCCTCGTCTTCGAGCACTAGCAACCCACGACCCAGCATCTCACTCAGTCCCCAGCGAATGATCGGCGCCTTCTGGTATATCTCGTCGCGGTTTAGGATGTGTTGCAGCGCCGTGAGGTCAGACGTGAAGAGCGTTGACATCTATTGGCCTGTTAGTCTCACAAGTGGATGAGAATAAAGCTTACGCTGAACATGGCATGCGTCTTGAAGGTCCGCCCATACATCTCCTGCCACTCGAGGGTCCGCGCAACCTGGGAATGGTCGGCCATCCGAATGAGCACAAGCCCATGAAGTACGCACGTTGAGCCTATCGCGGTTTCCTCTCAGCAAGCTTGTGTTCCGCGGGCCCCGCATTCCCGCCAACTCGTCCGGGCGCGCGAAAAAGTGACGATAAAACAGACTGAGCAGAAGACCACCCAGCACAAGGGCCGTCATGGCGGCGTGCTGTGAAAGGACGGTCAAGAAAGGGTGGATGCCGGGTACGAGGGCCATGGGAGGAAGATGGGGAACGAGGTATTTTTGGTCGTCGACATCGTGGTTTTAAGAAGGGAGGGTCACACGTGTGACGACGATTTCCGACGGATCATGATGTGTACGAAGAGATGATGACGCGAAAGGGACGTTCGGGTGCCGCAGTTTGCGGGGCGTGGGTACGGCGATTGGGAGTGGTACGACTGTTGGGGTATCCACCGAAATATGGACCAGGGTGCTTGTCATGACCATGAGGGTTACTGCGTAAATTGAAGCGCTTACTTACCGCAGTTCAAGTCAAGTTCAAGTTCTAAAATTTGCTGAAGGGAGGGTCCCGCCCAGTCGACGCTCAATCGACGCTCAATAGAAGCGCCAAAGGGTCGGATACGGCACAAATCGTGTGTTCAGTGTGTAAAAAGGGTCCTTGAGGTTAAGGCGAAAACAAGGTGCATGCCGCAGACTGCCGCAGATCATCACATTCGTCGGAAGCACGTGCTACTGTCCCCACACTCTGTCAATCAAGAGATTTTTTTCGCGCTTCACCTTCCTCCACCATGAGCCATGGATTGCTTGGTGGATTTTGACCGTCCCCGGGAAAGTGTGGGTCTCGCAGTGCTTGGTTATGGCACAGTGGCAGTCGTTTCACTCCCGCGGTCTTGAGCGCGTAGGCTTAAGCTTCCAGGCTGCAGGCATCCGGGATCCCGGCCTTGTACTGTGGCGTGAGTGGTCGCTTTCATCTTGCACTTTTGATTCATAGTCATAAAGTGTAGTCTCATTGCCGTCGGCTTGTGTATGTACCTCCATAATCGCTTCGCTTAGAACGGAAAGCGACACGGATGAGCGTATTTTAGCTCGCGGATGCCCGAAAAGCACCAGACCGAACATGGCATTGAACTAAACAGCATGAGCCGATGCAATAGGACCTTTACTCACTCGTTTCTATTTCTCCCCCAACGCCAGGAGTCGCGCCGGCACCAGGAAAAAAACACGGCGATGCCATCACGAAATTCGGGAATTACCGGGGGCGATCGAGACTGGCCTATATAATGCGTCACGCCTGACGCGCTCCTTGTCTTCTCCCCTCATCATCCTTCCCGACACACCTCACCCCCACGCGCCCAGCACGGCACCCATGTCCACCCTCTCACTCTCCCTCGTCGCTCTTGCCCTCCTCTGCGTCGCCCTCCTCGTCCGCGCCACCTACCTCCTTTTCTTCCACCCGTTGAGCTCTATTCCAGGCCCATGGTACGCGACGCGTCATCTGTCGTTCTCCAGTCTAACCATTTTCCCTAGGTACGCTGCTGTGTCGTCCCTCTGGATTACGACCCATGTCCTCCGCCTCGAGCAATGCAAGACAATCCACGCGCTCTTCCAGGTCTACGGCCCCGTCGTCCGCATCGCACCCAACAAAGTCGCGTTCTGCGACCTCGGCGCCATGAAGAGCGTGTACTCCACCTGCAAACTCGACAAGAGCGACTACTACAAGAGCGTATTGACGTCAGTGCCTCATAATATCTATCACGCCCCCCGCCGTCTTACCTTTCTTCCTCTAGGAACGACAACGACCACGCGTAAGCATACCTCCTTTACGCGTCTATCTCGTTTCCGACTCTTTCCAGAATGACTACCCTTCCCCATGCGCAACACTCGATCCGCCGCAAGGCATACGCATCGCATTACATGCCTTCTAACCTGGCCAAGCTCCAGCCAGAAATCTGCGAGTCCACGGGACAGGTTATTGATGTACGTGGCTGCACGAATCCTTCTTTTCCCCTGCATCAGGGCTCCTACAACATCGGTTCCCTCCCCGCCTTTTCCTCCCATCTCGTTTCACTCGTGCTGTATGGCTAAATTTCCATTCAGATTCTCCAACATCTGCCTGCCAACACTCCCGTTGACACGCTCTCTCTGTTCAGTCACGTACGATTTCCTCTTTTGCATGTACCCCTCCTTATCATGTTGCCTTAGCTGGCTCTTGACATCATTGTCGCATCATCGTACGGATACCGACTCGGTGCAGTGGGCAAATGGGCTGTCCAGGCTGAGGAAGGATTGACTGTCGCCATCGGTGATTTCCCCAAACGTGGCATTCTCGTGCGTAATAGACCATGAGTTGATCTCTCACTTCCTAACTCGTCGCCTCGTTCAGCGCAGCGCGGTGCCTAAATGGGCCTGGAACCTGGTCTGCAAGATTCCCCATGCGCGCCTTCGCCTTCTCTGTGATTCCGACAAGATCATGGCCGAATTCGTCTCGACTCGTGTCTACGAGATGCGCGCAAAGCTCGATATCGAGAAGACGCCTGCCCCGATTCAGCCCGCCATCGTCTCGCCAATACCGTTATCGTTTCCTTTCCTGTCCGTCGGGGGACTCGGCAGTCGCTCGTCTTCGCGTTCGGCTTCGCCGTGCCCCTCTGATGACTCCTCGTTTGCGGATGAGACGGAGAAGTCGTACCTGTTACCCCGTTTACTGGCGTACAAGTACCCCAATGGAACACCGATGCCAGAGAAGGACGCCATCAGCGAATGTATGGGACACATGTAGGTCGATGCTCTTCGTTAGACGCTAAGGGCTCACTATATCCTATAGGGTTGCGGGCACCGATACGACTTCGATCTCTCTTTCCTACTTCCTCTGGGAGCTCACCCGTCGTCGCGAGATACTCCACAAGCTCCGCAACGAAATCGACGCCGTCATGCCCGACTCCAAGACGATTCCGGATATCAAGACGCTCAACGGTATGGAGTACCTGAATGCGTTCATCAAAGAGGGTGCGTGTTTTTCATTTGGGAGCCGATCTTTAGCCTCACGTCCAACAGGTTTACGCATCTATGGTGCTGTTCCTTCCCTGCTCGAGCGGGTTATCCCCGAATCGACCGCGCTCAACAAAGGCTGCCTTGGGCCTGATGGCTTCGATCTCCTCGGATACGCACTGCCGCCCGGGACCATCGTCGGAACGCAAGCCTGGTCCATGCACCGTGACCCGGCTGTCTTCCCCTCGCCCGAGACGTTCCTTCCGGAACGGTGGCTCGTCTCGTCGAAGGAGGACAGCGAGGCCGAAACGGCGCGTCTTGCGCAGATGTCGAGCTACATGATGCCGTTCGGGACCGGCTCGCGGATGTGCGGCGGGCTTAACCTCACCCACCTGGCCCTCCGCATCATCCTGGTTGCCGTGCTCCGCAACTTCGACATCGAAGCCGCCGCTGGGACGGACGAGAAGAGCATGAACATGAGGGACAGCTTTGTGAGTCGTGCCTTCTCTTCTCTTTTAAGCTTCTGATCGTACCTGCAGGTGATGTTCCCGGCCTCCATGGAATGCAAGCTCATCTTCCACCCGCGCGTTCCCTCCGTCTAGACTGCCCGCGCTGCGACGCCCGCCTCCTGTCGCCGCCGTTTCTTTTCTTTTTCCCCTCCCGTACATTTCTCTTTCTCGCTCTGGTTCTTTCGCTATCCTCACGCTTCGTCGTCGTCTCCCGCATTGGTCCTATCCCCATCGCTCTCGCTGTCGTCTTGCTATCGCCGCTGGCACTGTATCATAATACCCACATCCACCCTGCGCCATCCACCTTGTTTGCGTGCACAAACCTCTCACGTCTCCCCGCCGTCTGGCACCCCGTATTTTATGTGTCACGTGTATAATCGCGAATGCCCTGTACCTATGTATATGTAGACCAGTCTCCGTAATTATTATAACATTAATGTCTCTTGCTTAGTGCTGTCCAATTATGATTATGAATACGAAATTTTCATAATTTATTCATATTCATAATATATTCTCTCTGCTGGAGCATATTATAATTGTATTCATATTCATAATCATAATTGGGCTCAGAATATGAAGATATTATGAATATATTCAATTATATTCAAGCTTCACAAGTCTGCACATAGTGCATATAATCCACCTTATCTCATGGTTTATTGAACCACTCCTTGGTTATGGTTGTTTCTGTGGCCAATTTTGCAGTCATTGAGGCATGCATATCTGTCATCCTATGCTTGATGCTGGAGTCTGGAGACCAGGTGCCCTACAGAGATGCTCTTTGCAGCCATAACCAGGATTGGTAACATAGCCTGGATATTCTACAACAAGATATTAAGCTGAACAAAACTCTAGCCTAGGTCAAGTATGATACCTTCACCAGCGAAGAGTATCATCAAAGTCCAGGGTAGCAATATAAAGGTCAACTTCAGCCTTCTGTCAGGGCTGGATATGGATATTGTCCGGCCTGATTTACTGCCAAAAGCCATTGATATGGTAAAGACTGAGTTTGAAGATGTTGCTACTGCTGCTAGTAGCCTGCTACAGAGCTAGTACCTCTGGCTGAAGGGCTTGCTGGTGTATTTGAATATAATTAATTATGGCCAAGGTATAATATATTATATTCATAATATATTCATATTCATAATCACTCATATTCAATGGGTCAAAAACTCAGCAAGAGTCTTGCTGAGTTTTTGTTATGGAGTTCTTAGGTCTGCAGAAGCATTCCAAAGAACATCTGCCAGGTGCACTAGAGTTTGCCAGTAAAATGCTGGGAAGTAAGTAAGCTTAGGAGGGAAATGCCTTTATGCACGTTTTAAAAACAGTGTGAGACTTCTTGTCAGGGGAACATCCCTTTTGGCCCCCTGAAGATGATTCCAATTCTGGTCTGATTCTGATTCCAACTCTGGTCCGGCCCTCCATCTTGCTGTAAGGGCAACCCGGGAGGCCTGAGATCAAGGTCCTGGCAGGGGAGGATCCAAAGAGAAGAAACTCTGAGGGTTGCCAGGTAGCCAACTATATACCTGGCTCTTGATGCGCCAAGAATGATTGTTGCTCCATGCAATATGCCCACACCATGTCGCATGCCAGGTCCCAGGAGGATCTTCTTGCAGATCCAGATGCATTACCTACGTTGATTCCTATCGGTAGACAAAACGAGGACCCCCGAACATTCCCTATCACCTGGCTACTGATTCGGACACCAAACGCGCGGCCGGCACCTTGGCGAAAATTTGGACATGGACCCCGAATTTTGGCCCAAACCTACCCCCCCAAATTCGGACATGGGAACCGGTGGCGCCGACTCACTGGACGCCTAATGTGACCTTTCCGTGACGATTTGTCACGGCACATAGCCAATTTTGACTGCTTCTGCGTGGGACCTTGGGGGAAATTCGGACATCTGGGGCCGCCGGAGGCGGCCCAATTCGGACATGGGAGTCCGGCTCACGGATCCAGGTGATAGGGAATGTTCGGGGGTCCTACAAAACGCTTGGGCATCATATAGGTAATTGATGGACAGGTGTCTGATACCGAGATGTGATGGACAGATGCTAAGGTGGGGGTTCCCCTGACACTTTCCCCGCACAATCACCAATCCGTCAATGCCCTCCCGACGGTTGCCCTGGAACCTGGCCTGTAATGCCATCTAAGCCTTCTGTTCCTGACAGCGGCAGCTATAGACAAGCGGTATATAGTCAGCTATCTAGCAGGCAGACCCTTAGAGGTTCTTCTCTTTCTCTTTACTGAGGCATTGGTGGAAACTCTTGGCTTGAAGGTGTGTTTTTATGCACCCTAGTATCTTCCCCTAGCCCCAAACCCTCAAGTAACCATGAACGTAACGGCTCCGAAGCATGGTAGAAGGATGAATAAAGGCTCCTTAGAGACCGGGGCAGTCTCTTCAGCGATCACAGGCAGAGGCAGGGGGAAAAGTGAAAAGTTCTGGTATAGAGTCGCAAAGACTGGGACCCCATGTGCGTTATTCTCAATTCTCTCCTTAAGAGATGTATGCTTATTAACACTAAGGAGCGCCTTTCTCTGCCGCTGTTGACTTCATATCCTTAACTAGCACTCAGATAGGGTTCCATTGTGGTTGTTCAAGTTTCTACGTACTCTCTTCAGACCCTCTAAAAATGCTCAACAGTGTCAATACTGTGCAAACGCAAAAATGAGAGGCAGATTCGCCACTCTGACTTTTTGGTCAGTCGAAGTTTTTTTTACCTTCTTGTTCTTGGTAGGATCAGGGGGGTTTACATTTTCATTGGCCATAACTGTGGCATCAACAGCCGTTGAGGTAAATAAAGGTGACTTTCCCACCAACTAACTTGGGACTACCTTGTATCTCCTCCCGCAACTCTCTAGATGATTAAATGGAACAGGAAGCTACCACTTGTGGTGCAGATATATTCACAGTCCTCACGATTGTCGTTCTTAGTAAACAAATTGCAGTCGTAAATACGACAATTCCTCGGCTGTACCTGTTTTGATAACCCTTTGCATACAATAACTCCATGACTAGTTCTCTTATCCTTGCTTGCGAAGAATAGACGCAATAGCAGATACTGTAATTTTTGCCACTTGCCAAATTAGAAAGATGCATATAACATGATTCCTCTCTTTCCTTTTGTAAACTTATTCTCATACAGTTCTAATCAGAACTATGCAAGTTATCTGTATTGACAAGTGCCTCTCCCACAACAATATAACCATTTTATTGCAATTCAAGTAATTATAGTTCTGTTAACGTTTAGCCTTCATCAACTATCCATCAATCAAGCTCTAAGACAGGTATAATAAACAATCCAAGGACAGGGTTTTTACTAGAAATTACAGGTTGTACAAGCTGAGCATAATTCAACTGAAATAAGATTAATGTTTATTGTGAGATTTTTCACCCTTTTCCGCTATGACGTTCTAATATGCGGCTGTGTTCCTGTATGCGATTAGGGCATTTTGTGTAAATTGCCTTTTTCTTTCTCTAATTGCAGTCTCAGCGATATAACACACATAGTTGCCTTTCCTGGAAACTGTGTGAGATAGTTAACTTTTGTTGTCAAAACAATAAACATATTAAAGTAGAAGGGGACTGCTACAGCATCCCTTGCACATACCGCCATTGGTATAAGCCTCTGTTGAAAATATATGAGTACATTGTTGCAAATGCGAACTAACTCTTCTAAGACCTGGCTAGAGGTTCTCCGGTATGCTGTTATCTCTTCTGTCGTGCTTAAGCATGATAGTAGGTATCTAATCTGGTAGCGGAACAGCTGGGTGCAAGCCTTCGATGCTATGTATCAATAGTCAGTATACCATCTAGCAAGAGGGCAGGGAGAATAGAGTATCTGATGATACTCAGCATAAATCATAATGTAGATAGGGATACCTCACCTTTATCCCTGGACAAAGCATGTCTTACAAGTTGTGCAATGACCACAGAGAGCCCAGGCATAATCTCAGTATGTTGTGTGTCGATCAGCAGCACTCTAATTCACAAAGACTAGTTGCTGCATATTATAACGTGTTCCGATCGTCAGTGTAAACTTAGCATGCTTGAGAATACTTCGCTCTGCAGCCTGGTGCATAATATTCTTTATTGTATAACCAGAGGCTCATAATGCATGCCAGATTGTTGACTTGTCTACAGAAGTGCTGGAAATGTTAGAAAGATCACTGAAATCCACCGAGTTAGGGAAAGAACGCATAGCTAGATCCAAAAGCTAGATGAACCCCATGCATCCCTGGCCCTTCACGCTGCTCACGCAGATCATTATGAATATACTAAGCCTTGAGTATCCATCATTGTAAACAAGAACTGACATAGCTAAAAGCAACAGTTTCTGCAGACGGCCTTTTACACGCAGCCATGTGCACAACAACCTAGCACAAGTCCTCCAATATCTTGGCATCTTTGGGTATGACGAAGCATCCACAAATAATACAAGAGAGAGCAAATGAGAGCAAAAATGTGTCCAGTCATGATGTGACCTCTCGAAACGGGGAAAAAATACCCCGAGAAGAAAGACCTGTCTCTGAGGAAAGACTCAACTCTTCGCTCCTGACAACTCAGCACTATTGATGGCGATGTGTCATTCTCTACAAACTAGGACCTAGATTTGGGTCCATATGTCATAATAATAATAATAATAATAATAATAATAATAATAGGAGTACATCATAAGAATAAGTTTGCACATGAGATATAAGTTTTATTGAAGAACTATACTTATACATAGATCAAAGGCACATTTATGAATAGTAAGTATAGTCTGCTAAGTATAGTCTGCTACTACTCAGATGGATCTGACAATAAATGAAGAGCATAATTTATAATTATGCCCACTACCTTTGAAAAGTATTTCAGTTGCAAATATTTATATTATTTATAGACTTACACTGCATTTCTCAGTAGATTTGGCTCTAATGACCCAGAACCGGCATAAAATGTTTCCAACTTAAAAAATTCTTTTGCATTCTTAGATTTTCTGGCATTTATTGGTGAGTTGCCTTTTTTGGAAGCGTGTATTTGGCAGTTGCAGATAAATTTTATACTAATTTATTACTAAAGGTAATGTGGATAATTATGCATTATG